TCCCCACTATATCCAAGGCCCTTTATTCAGAAGTGGGGGTACAAAGAGCAATGGTTAGGAGACAGACAAGCAGACAATCACATAGCAACTATGAGAAGGGCTGGCTGCACACATGCCTGACCAATGGGTTAAGGGAAGCAACCAGCTCTTCAGGCAGAAAGGATGAATGAGTTCTCCTAAAGGGAGGGTCATTCCAGGAAGTAGGAACAGGGTCCGCAAAGGGAAAGAGTGTGAAAGGGCACAGGCATTTGGGGAATGGGAAGAAATTAGGGGCAAATAAAAGTGGAAATAAGAAGGTGGATGTGCAATCAAATAAGATTTCCTCAGGCTCATTTGTGCAGCATCCATGGGCAGATTAGCAATATTGAAGACAGAGGCTGTTCCACAAAAACACCTCTAGCATGACATCAACCCATCTTAGACCCTGAGTGTGCCTATATGTATTAAAGGAGGCTGTTAGTCAAAGAACAACCTTTTTACCCAGGTGATGGTCCCTTCAGTAGGGATCCCAGGCCCCCGACTGAGAATAGAGAAAGACAGAAGAACACACTTGGCAAGTGGAGTCTGGTGGACCCAAGTTCAAATCTGGAGGTCACCTCCTAGTTGGGTAACCTGAGGTAAGTTAACTTCACCAAGACTCAAGTTTCCTCATAAGTAAAAATCACAAGCTAATACTTACTAAATAATTTAGTATGAGGACTGCATGAAATAACACGTGATTGAAGGGTGGAGAGGGGTCGAGTATTTAGACCCCACCACCCAGACAACACATGATAGCCCAATCCCTCCTCATTTAAGCTGGACTCTAGTCCAACTTAGCCATTCATTATTTGAGTGGCCCCAGACAATTCATTTAATATCTCTTCTGCCTCAGTTTCCCCTTCTACTGAATTTGGAGGTGTGACCTCCAAGCCTCTTACAGTCCTAACATTCTGACCAGTTAGTATAATTGTTTAGAGGGAGGCTTCTTTCCAACCTCTATTCTTATATCTGTTGGTGCCCCCTCTTCCACTCTAAATCTTTTAAAATTCACAGTGCCAGAACCTTCTAGTGTCTGCCTTTTGGATTTTTGACACTGGCTCTGTTGTCTCCCTCCACAAGATTTGTTGGAAGTTGTCCATAGGCCAAGGGCTGTGTTAAGAATGATACAAGCTTTATCACAAAGTCTATACAAATGAGGACATCAAGGCTCAGAATATTAAGCAATTTATCAAGGGTATGGAATTTAACGCTGGCTCTTCCCAGCTGCTCCTGATCGTTATAAGTTACACCACCTCTCCATCCTCTTAGCTATATCTAGTTTGAGTTCTATCTTCTTATGGCCCTGTGCTATGCTAGCTTAGCCCATAAATTACTTTGTATTAATAACGTTATGTGCTACACCTGCCAGATGACACATGTCCATATTAACCAGGACCCATCATCTCTGAACCAACAGAGAACTCATGATGGGATTCTCAGGCCTTGCAGCTGGTAGGTCAGGGTGAGATTCTAGGCACGCAGGACTTTAATACATCTCTCAAATAACAGAACATGATCAAACAGCTACTCCACTTCCACCTGAACCTGCCAGAAGCTATGGCATTTTAGTTCAAGCCTAAGATCTACGAGCCTCCCAGCTGGCATAAGCGTACTCATATCACAGACAAATAAAGGAAGAGGGCTCATGCTGTGGGGTAAGACAACTCCAGGTTTACTAATTGAGTGCACTTTGGTGGATATTTTTAGCTTCTCTGAGCTACCTATCCTCTAAATCAGTGGTTCTCAACCTTCTGGCCCTTTAAATACAGTTCCTCATGTTGTGACCCAACCATAAAATTATTTTCGTTGCTACTTCATAACTGTAATGTTGCTACTGTTATGAATCGTAATGTAAATATCTGATATGCAGGATGGTCTTAGGCGACCCCTGTGAAAGGGTCGTTCGACCGCCAAAGGGGTCTCGACCCACAGGTTGAGAACCACTGCTCTAAATGCTCCTGAGAGTAAGGTAACCCAACTGAGCTTCAGGTTCCTCATCTATAAAATTAGGATAACATTCACAACCTTAGAGGGATGGTGTAGGGATAGAGGAGTGCCTGGCCGACCCACAGGTTGAGAACCGCTGCTCTAAATGATCTTGGGTACGGTAACCCAACTGAGCTTCAGGATCCTCATCTATAAAATTGGGATAACATTCACAACCTTAGAGGGATGTTGTAGGGATAGAGGAGTGCCTGGACTGTAGAAGAAACAGATGAGTCTATTGGGAGAATAAAGGAGCTTAGGGATGGTCAGGTTGTTTCCAAAATCAGGGTAGTCTAGACTAGAGTAGAAAGATGGAAATCAGTTAAAGATTCATTAGACTCTTAAGTAGCTGCTGAATCTGAGGACTCATGCTGGTTGCGAGTTGGATACCCTATTATGGCATAAGCCCTAACTGATCTGATCCTTGATTCCACACTGCCAGGCCGCCTGGCAGCTGTTGCTGGAAGTATTTTTTTCAGGTAGAGCGGTTCCCAATTGAGCCAATGGGTAGAATGAAATCACACACCATCTCTCTCTCTGAGCACCATGAGGTTGCCAGGGTAACTGCACGATTCTGGCCTTCCCTGTGGGATCTCTACTCCTCTATCCACATCCCAGCGGGCTCCCTTCCTTTGGCCTTACATTCTGCACCCCCAGCTAAGACCTCGCCCTCCTGCCTCTGAAGATCAGAGAGGAAACGGGAAGAGAAGGAATGGACCAGGCACCTGGATCTCCACATTTTATTTCCTTATCATTTTATTTCCTTAGTTACGGCACATTTCCATTTATGAAGTATTTTCCCTTATAAAATATCTCACTGTTGACTCCTAACCTACTAAATAATTCCTCTGACCTATTCTTGTTTTTACCCTCTAAATATCTGTTGATGGTTCATGCACCACATTCCCCATTCAGTTATTAATGGCCCACAAAAACTTACTAGCAGCAATCATTTACTGATTAATCTGCACAACAATCCAGAAAGACAGGTAGTATTAATCCTTTGTTCTGCACAGGGAAACCAAGGGGAAAAGAGAGGTTAACTCCGTTGGCCAAGGTCAGTGGCTAAACAAGATTATAACCAGGATCTATCTTGTCTTATATTTCTGTGAACACTTCCCACTGTGTTATTCCCTTTCTGCACAAATCAATGTTGTCAAGGCAGCCAGATCATTTCTATGTTGAGGTTCAGTTGTCACAGAACATCTTAAAAATGTCAAAAATTCAACCCAAAATAATTTTGCCTGCTAGTAGCTCATAAATAAAAGTTGCTAAAATGAAGAGATGATAGTACTTGAAGGCAAATTGTACAGAGGCAAAAGAGAAGTGAAAAGATGTGGATTATAGACCCAGCTTCTGCCACAAGGAGACACTGAGAAAAGTCACTTAACTTCTCTACACCTCTGAGTCAACTGTAAAAAACTAGATTATGCTGAATGACAATTACGGTATGTGGCTGTTTTAAATGAGATGATTGAATACCTATGAAACCAGCACAAAAAATAAAGCTCCAATATCCAGTGCTGCCAAGACTGTGGTAAAAGTGGTATATTCATTCAGTTAATTAAATGCACAGCTACAACCCCCATGGAAAGCAAGATGCCAACAGACAACAAGAACCAGAGAGATTTTCATATCCTTGACTTAGTAATTTAACTCATACTTTATTTTAGCTTAAGAAATAAGTCAATAGAAGCAAAAAGACATATACAAACCAAATGCACATTTCAGTGCTAGCTATCAGAGGAAAAACTGTTATCAATTGCAATGTTCATTTTAGAGGGATGTTTTATTAAATAAAAGCATAGAAACCATATACATGTCATGTTGCTATTACAAAAGATAAATATGAAAATTAGACAAAATCATTTAAAATCTTACGGATACTATTAAATGAAAATAACCAAAAGTAAAAGAACAGATATGTAGTCTGATGTCAACCATATAAAATGTGGACTGATGTGTAAGAGCACAGAAAAACTCAAAAGAGTTATGTTATTAGTTATACTTATTAATTTTTAATATTTAACTATTTTAATGAATATTTTTCATTAACATATACATTTGCTCAATTATTTAAAAATTTCTCTGACCCTGCTTTAAAATTTCGACCTGAATTTCTGCGTAGTTTTTGTCGGCTGACATATTTATTCATGACATTATTTTTCCAGAGTGATTTTTGCTTTCTACTCTATAATTCTTTACTGTCTTTAGATATTTTAAAATCTCAGAACCCTTGCATTTCTTTCCTGCACCTAAATGGATTCTTACAAAGATCTGTCATTTAATCTAGCTATGAATAGCCAACCCCATGATTGCCTTGTTATGTTAATATTTGGCAATGCCTAACCCAGGAGTCAAGATGCTTCCGATAACCCTGACCAGTGAGGGGCCTCTACAGTAACCATAAAGTTGCCATTACACTTTTCAAAGTGCAGAGGCAGGTTTCATATTCCAGGTTTTTGGAATTTTACAGCAGGACATTTTATATTTTCAGGGGTCTAAGACACCCCTCTGGTTCTCTTAAGAAAGCTGCTCTCAGCTACACTGTGCTAGGACCTTCCCTTCATAGACTTTTACATGCTCCTTCTCTCCTTAGAAACATTCTCTTGCTAGTAGGTCATTTGTACATCTTTGCTCATCATATCTGGGAAAGATTGCAGAGCCAATGAATTAAAAATATGATTCTAGGTCTCTTGTGTGCCAATGAATGCCCTCATTAAAACAGAATGAGTAGATAAGATCGGTTTCAAAGCTTTCCATCCCTCTGCCCCAGAGCCGCCGAGGCCAGGCTCTGAAAGGATGCACAGTAAAATTAAATATCTAAAAATTCATCTTTAATTAACAGAATTGGATTAAAGCTAGACACCACGGCATATCATACGAGAAATGGCTGAGCTGGCTTCCAAGTGCTCTAATTCAATTAGGACGCAGTGAGTGACACTCGGACGGGAAAGGTTAATTGGGGGCGCCAGAACGCAATCATTCCTTACCTAACCAGTCATTAAACTTCTTAACCTCTGAGGGCAGTCCCAGCTCGGTGAAATCGCCTGTGTGGAGAAGGATGTCCCCATAAGGCATCTGGATACCATCTGTTCTGGAGTGTGTGTCTGAGATGCAGACAAACCGCGTGTGGCCCGCTGGTTTTGGAGTGTCATATGGGATGGGGTCGACCCTAAAGTAGACATAACAGATCCCGTAACAGTTAAATATATTAGAACCCTCGTAATTGTCATCACACATACATACCAACTGATATCCGTGAACGCACCCAGACAAACCGATGCAGCGGCAGAAGGGACCATTGTAACGAGGGGACACTTCTGAGTGCAAAGGAGATAGCATCACCCACCTACAATCCCAATGGGCAAATTTAAAAAGTCTTACTTACCTGGTTTGAAAATTAAAAAGACTATCTTACGGCAGAGGTGGAATTAACCCAGGAAACTGATAGAATGATTAATGGTGAAGGTTAGGGATACTGAACCCCAACTGGGGATAGCAAAATTATGCTATTTTGTCTCTCATCATGCTCCAATTGATCCCACTACTCATTAGGAAATGAATAACTAATTTATTCCTTCTTAAACATGCATAAGTCAGGCAATGAACTAATTTACGAAGAACAAGGCACGTGCTTTGCCAACTGAGATGTGGAGAGACATACTAGATAGTACTAATATTTAATATCCTTTCCAGAACCATTTGTATTTTCAAGAATCTTAGGATCTTCTTGTGTTTGCTAAGAGATTCTCAAATCAAATTGTGGGGAGGGAAGGTGATGCCAAAATAACATAGCTTTTAAAAAACACACAACATTCATTGGATGTCCAAAAACTTTGTCAGCTCCTTCTTTACCACAATGAATTATCTGCAGCCCCACTAACACCTGAGGCTGCTTGGAATGCCTTGGGCAGAGATTCCATTCAGTACAAAGAGTAAGCCTTTTAATGAGTGTCTATAGATACACATACGCATGAATATATGTATAGTTTTAGAGACCTAAGCACTGTGAAGTTACACTAGGGCATAAGAATCAAAAGGCAAAATGATCAACCCGAAGCAAAGAAAATGAAACAGAACATTCTCATTTAATTGAGTGTAACAAAGTGTGCTAAATAAACTTGGTAAAGAAATGCAAATCTGGCTCTTCAAGCATACAGTTTTAATTATTTAAAGGGCTGGTAGCAGAGTTAAGGATGCTTTAACTATATTAACTCTACGCTGACAGCTTCCTTTAATTTCTCTGTAGGAATGCACACTTATTTTGGATCATGGGTGAAGAGAAGCAGTTATAGCTGTAAAGACAAGGTCATAAGAGAAGCAAACATGCAAAGCAGAGATTAGCGTGTGAAATGTTAAGTAAGGACCAATATTTCATATCATATTTCATATCACAGCCCTACCTTGACAGTTAACATGCGGCAGAGAACACACGGAAAGTCAACATAAGAATCCCTATACATCTTGCTCTGCAGGCTTGGTTTAATTTTTCTTTCCTTTTCCCACTTTTTAAAAAGAAAGAACCCATTTTAACAATGCAATTGTAGTGAGGGGAATAAAGACATCCGTATACATCCTCGTTGGTCTTGCATTTCTTTCACAGTTTACCTTTTAATTTTATTTTATCTTTGACAGAGAAGAATGAAAGTCAGAAGGAAGAAAGAGCTTGAAGAAGACAGAAAGAAGGAAGGAGACAGGGAAGGACTGTGAACTGGTTAACACAGTGGATCTAACTGGAAACCCAAAAGGAAAGTTTACTTTCTGCAAAAAAAATGAATAGATGTTCCCTGTAAAGGTTAGAAATTAACAATGCTGTTACCATGGAGAAAATGCACTAATCCACTGCATTTTGTAAGTAACCTGGAAACCCTCCTGATTGTATCCAATGTTGATTTTTAAAAAAATGTATGAAGAAGTTTGGTACCTTCTTTTCCTTTACTGAGACTATTCCAATCAGTCCCAGGCTCTAATCTTACCACGATACCCTGTCTTCTAAAAGTAGTTCACTCAGAGAACGAATGATTGGGTTGTTCCCTGCTGCAGGAGACCCTGTCACCCCCTGAAAGCAACAGGTAATATTTATCCCTCAACCTACAGTTAGGATGCTCGCTGGAATGGGACCATGCACATTTCTACTCAGCCCACCCACATCTGAATGAAAATTAAATAAATTAACCACTAGACTTTAAACACATAAATAAATTCAATATTATGCATGTCTTTATTTTCCAGTTCCCCTCAGTAACTCAGATAAGCTACGGGCACAAGTAGTGTATCAACATCCTTTATGAGCCCATCCCAATTCATCAAAGGGATGTCACAGTCATCATTTTGAATGTATTACACAGAAGGTAGCACAGATACAAACCCTTCGCTGTGAACAGGTCCCTGTTCTATGAATCTACTCAATTTAAAGAAGCAAATCATCATGTGGTACCTAATATTGTTTCCCAGCTTAGGTCTATATTGAGCAGTAACTTTCCAAGACTATTGGAACACCAATTATTGAATGGCTGAAACTTCCTTCCCCATGCCTCCACCTCCTCCAGAGAAATTAGTAACTATCCAACAGATTGAACATGCAATAAAGGCCAAGGAATAGAAAAAAACAGAAGGCAAAAAATAGGGAGAAAATGTCTTGTTATTATTGAACTGAAATAAAATGAGTCAGAAGTATACAGAAACAGTGGCGGAGAAGGCTCACCCATCACCACCACCAACTTGATGTAATCAAAGAGAAACAATTTGTAGGCACTTAGGGGAGACATGGAGAATTGATTTAGGTAGCGGCCTGGGGAAGGAGGAGGCCTAAAGACCCAAATGTGGGATTTATATACATCCCCTGACACAGAAACACTGATGTCCTTTGTTACCCACAGGACTAAGTACAAGAAGACAAGACAGTGCAGCCTGTCAGAGCCAGCTGCAAGATAACATGACAAATGTCACCTGGGGGGGGTCATAGGAAGGAAGACATTTCCACCCAAAGACATTCAGAGCTGCAAATAAGACGTCTAGTAGAGTAGGCAAGTTGCAGTGAATATAATTAAAGTTGAGACAACCCTAGGGAAGCTACTATTTCCAAGTTGGGCATTTGGTAAACACTTTGAAAAGTCAAGACAGACAAACATTTTCACTGTAAATGCGTGTGTAAGGGGAAGCCTGATGGCCATTGCAACGTTTACCTATTCACATTGTGGGAGACCCTCCTGCTACATTTCCCCTCCTAGTTAACATCTTTCCTGCTTACTGTTTATGCTGCAGACTTCTCAAATGACCTAACATTTCCCCCAAGGCACCATGTCAAATATCCCAGCAAGTAAGTCTCTTACCAAGGCAATCTAACCCCTAGAGCCAGATTCAAATATCAGAATGAGATTTGCACGTACATCTGAGTACACCCAGGGGAAAACAAGATGACATGGGAAGATGAGAAGAAAACACGGCATCATAAAATCCCAGAGCTGGACAAAACCTTAGGGGGCATTGGGTCCAATGTTTTATACAAAGCTTGAACACCCTCCCCCCTTCCTACCTACCTGCCATAAATTTTCTTTCCAAGGTTTCCAGAGAAGGGGAGGTCCTGGGCCCTCTCCCCTCCCCCAGGGCAGCCCATTCTGGGTTTTGATAGCTCTCCTTGCTAGAAACTTTTGGATCCAGAGTCTGCACCTCTGAGAAAGCTGAGCACGGTCCAAAGAGACTTGGCCTGGAGCCTGAGGACTGAGTAACAACTTTGGCTGCGTTACTCACTTTGGACAAGTTATTTCATTCTTCTGGTCTTCATTTTTTTTTCTCATTTGTAGGATGGGAATAATAATGCCTAACCTGCTAAGTTGCTATGGGGATATAAATTGTCAAGCATTGGGTCTGGCACACAGCACGTGCTCAGAAAGTAGAGGTGCAGAATGATGTAAGGGTAGAGCACGTTCAGCTACACGGCCAGACTATGTGGCTCTGAATCCCACTCCATATTTATTCACAGTGTGACACCAAGCAAGGTGCTTAACTCCTATGCCTTGGTTTCTTCGTCAATAAAATGGGTATAAAAATAGTACCTTATCTCATAAGACTGCTGTGAGGATGAAGAGGGATAACGTATTCAGAGCATGCAGAACAGTGTCTGACACACAGCAGACAATAAATGTTAAGGCTTTTTTCACTAGCTAGTAGTATTTTTACAACTATTAATAGTAGTATCCTTTAGTTTCTCTGACCTCCATTTCTTCTGTTACAAGGAGATAGTAACAGATACCACATAGACTTTGTGAGAATTAAAAGTCACATACACATCACCTAGCACAGTACAGGGCACAAAAACCACAGTAAACAAACACATTTATTTCCTATTGTCACTTCCTTAACCCTGCTTCTGAAATGACAGAGAATAAGAATAAGAATTCAGTCCCTTTTCCATCTGATAGTCCTTCAAATATTTGAGGACACATATGATAATCCCCTGAAAGCTTCTCTACTCCAGTTGAGGAGCCACAGTTTCTTCAGCAATCTTTGTGCGATGGGATTTCACATGTCCTCAGAATCTTGGTGATCTCCCAGGTGCAATCCTATTGGTCGGAAGCCCTCCCTCTGCAGTGTCAGAATTCCCACGGGCCATGTGAATTCCTGGACCAGTGAGCTGTTTCTCAAAGACAAATGCAAGTATAGGCGACAGAGAGCCGACAGTGCCGGACACATGGGCGGACTTTCCTAGAGGCCTGAGCTATCATCTTAAACCATTTTCTAATCAAGTCTCTAGGTTTTGTGCCAAGCCGCAAATCTTCCTCTTGAAACTCGATTGTCAAATGTTTACATATCCCATTGCATATTCAAATAAATAAACCATTCTCATTTATTCAGTCTTGGCACATTAGGCTTTTTTTTTTTTTACCCATAAAAAAAATAATATGACAGTATTATTGCTTCCACTATGGAATCCTCTCCTGGCCATATGTGTTATTTTTGTCCAATAACAAATTCATACAGCCTTGCAAGTTCCATTACTAGATCTTCAGAAAAGCTGTTATCATGTGGTTTGTTATGACGTGGGTTTCTTTTTTAAGGCCATGTGTGCAATAAAAGCCTCATGTACACAATTAGCCTAATAATTCAGTGTCAGAATAGAATATAACCCTTACAAAGCATTTTAGAGGGATCTGAATGTATTTACCATCCCCC